CTTGAAGTACGGTACCAGTATTTACAATCTTTACTTCTCTATTATATTGTTCAATACGTTCACGGATAATATTACTAATTTCGTCGGCTCGAATGGTTACCATGAGTATTTTTCAAAAAAAAAAAGAGGAAAAAAGAAAAAAAAAAAAAAAAAAAAGCCAAAAAAAAAAAAAAAAGGAGAAGAGGAAGAAATTTTTTTTTTTTGGCTTATGTTGTTAGAAAATAAGTGGTCTATATTATTATGCTTGAATTCTTCAATTTTGAAAGATAAATAAAAGTTACTTATTATCAAGTTATATTTGATTTTATAGTTGTTAAATTGTTAGATTAAATTCAATTTTATTGAAGGGGTTAAGTGTAATAAACTATGAAATTGAGTAAGATGAAAGAAAAATTAGTTTTAGTTATTAAAGAGATTGTAGAAATCGCCCAAACGTGAAATGATTAAGTTTGGGTATCGCCTATTTAATTATTGAAATTATTTAAAATAATCAATTGTTTATTTTAAAATTATATCGTATTTCAGGCGATGATACTGATATCAGAACAGCTTATCAATCGGGTTGATTTTGTGAACATAGTACTGTGAGTGAAAAAATATAAATATTTTTAAAGTATTTATAAATTAAGTTTATTGTTAAAGTATGTGCAATTATATGCAATTATGTGTTCGAATTACATGGTTATTATGGAAATATCTTTTATTAAGATACATGTGAAATTTCAAAGATTGTATACGGTACATTGTGAATTGGAATATGAGATGTGATTTTGAGATCGACCAGAAAAGTACCCGTGATTATATATTTCTTCTAATTCACTGAAGGGCTTTGGTCGTGTTCTATACTATACTGAGGGGTCTTAGACCGGGGACGAAAGGGTCTCGACCGTGTACATATAATTCACTGAGGAGCATTGGCCGTATTCTAGAATTGATTACCAGAGGTCTTTGAGACTGACTTTCGTTCACGCAGGGGCCGAAGGCCCGTGGCGAAAGTTCTTAGCCCGAGGGGCGGATTAATTATTTCAGTCAGAGTACGTTTTTGGTAGATTCTTTAGCACGTTTGATGTGATGAGATTATAGCATGATTACCAGCTTATATTTATATCATGATTTGAGATGATATTTTACCACGTTATGTGAATGTCTCACGTTTTGACTATAATTATATGATGTTATCTTGCGAGTTATCAATGATATGAACTCGATTTTCGATAAAAATGTAAAAATGAAAAAGTATAATTATTTTCGAACTTCTCCACTCACTGAGCTATCAACTCACATATTTTTCCACGATCTTTCCTACAGGTGAAAATTGATCATTTTTAGCTGAAAGAGCCTAATGATTTTGGAATAAGAGCCACACGATATGTTGAATATTATAACTCATATTGATAAAGCACGAAGTAAATATTTTGGGCCCATTGCATTATGTTTTATATAAGCATTTGATTTTATTGCATTTTTTTAAAATAACTCTTAGTTAGCCTTGGTGATAGATTTGACATCTAGTCACCATCTATCATCGACGTATGTCACGTTTCGGGTCCACTAGGGTGATTCGGGACTAGTCGTGTCAAAGTAGTATCAGAGCATGGTTTATAAAGCTTAGAAAGTCTTCATAGTTCAAACATTGACATATCATGCGTTATTCAGTGTGTGTGGTTACATGTCGTGGTGGCAGAAATCACTGGCACTCTAGCTCGAATGTATGGAACCAAAAATGATAGAAATTTTTTTTTTTAACAGATTTAGAAATGACTAGTATATAAGTATGTTAGTTGCAATGATATGATGGTTGGAAATGATATTAGTTGTTGGGTTGGAACTATGTGTATAT